TCCAAAACTTGGCTGAAGAGACTGAGAGCTACCTCTATGTCCACCAATTTTTTTTGCTTACCTTATTTCCCAAATAATGTCCCACAGAACTCTAATGGGTTCTGGAAAGCAGGATTTAGCAAAGCAAAGAGTTTGGGAAACAGCACATCAATGGAAGGAACAGCATGTGGAAAGGGCTTTCTGTGAAGTGGAGAACAGCTTGCTGGTTTGGGGAACAGAAAGAAAGCCAGTTGGGCAAAATGTGCTGAGGGAGGGGCAGAACAGTACCAATATCTCTGGAGGGGCAAGCTGCACCAGACCTCATGGGGCCATATATAGTACTTTAGATTTTATCACCAGCACATAGGAAAGTTACAGACCTATTTTGAGCATGGGAAGAATATTTTAAATAGCAACCAGTGTCACAAAGGAAAAACAGAAGAGTTCAACTAACAGTGGAAAGAACTGTGAACTGGTCATCCCAGTTCTGCTCTGAGCCAGCTCCAGGACCTTGGATATTTGTAAGACTCTGATTTCTCTTAGCCCCAGTTTCCTCATCTGAAAAATGAGGTGGTGGGTTAGATGATCTCTAACTCCTTCTCTGTTTCGTGATCTATGATAAAACCATGCCGATAAATGTAATTGTCATTAAGGAGCTTACAATAAAGTGGGAGAGAGAAACACACCCAACCTCTATGATACGTGCTGTTGATGTTCCAGGAAGTTCTAATGTTTAAAGCTTTTGGTAGCTTACAAGCTGATTTTGCCAGCCCATTGTTATGTTGACTGCAAAAGGATTTTAAACAGTACTAGGCTCAGTAACCAATTCAATGAAGAACTTGGAAAGAGGGTATTTGCATGAAATGTGACGTCTGCTAAGCTTAGATTTAGTGACTTCAACTGAATGCTTCATAACAGAAAACACCAGCGGGAGAACTGATTCTTGGGTGGATTTCATCTAGAATTTGTAACTGTAGGAGTGCCTATGAGTGATCTTTCTGTCAGTTATCTATTACTGTATAACAAACCACCCCAACACTTAGTGATTTGAAACAACCACCATTTTATTTCTCACAATTCCTGGGTTGGCTGGATTATTTTTGGGTGGCTTTCCCTGGAGCTCACTCATGTGGCTGAGAGTTGGTGGGCTGCATAGCTGGGACGGCAAGGCTTCCTTTTCCCGGGGTCTTTCCTCTTCAAGGAGGTTGAACCAGGTTTCTTCATGGCAGTCTCAGGGTAGCATTTCAAGAAAGCAAGGAGCAAGGCACAAGTGCACATTGAAAGCCCCTGCTTATGTCATATTTGTTTGTGTCCCAGTGGCTAAAGCAAGTCACAAGGCCAACTCCAGGGTCAATGTGGGAGGGAGCGACAGAAGGACAACTCAGTAGGGGTGATTCATTAGAAGCCATTAGTGTAACAATGTGTAAACTTTTCCTCTGAGACTTGCATTGCAAGATATGCAACTCTAACCTAAAAAGGATGGCACTTTCTTTTTCTTTTCTCTTTTTTTTTTTTTTTTGAGACAGTTTCCCTCTTGTTGCCCAGGCTGGAGTGCAGTGGCATGATCTCAGCTCACTGCAACCTCCGCCTCCCAGTTTCAGGTGATTCTCCTGCCTCAGGCCTCTGGAGTAATTGGGATTACAGGCGCCTGCCACCACGCCCAGCTAATTTTTTGTATTTTTAGTACAGACGGGGTTCATCGTGTTGGCCAGGATGGTCCCGAACTCCTGACCTCAGGTGATCCATCTGCCTAGGCCTCCCAAAGGGCAGGGATTACAGGGGTGAGCCACTGCGCCCAGCCAAGGATGGCACTTTCACAAAGACACAATATCTATGTTATTACTACTATAAGGGAGCATGTGGAGTCACCTTATTAAGGGACTGAGTCCTACATCAGTGGCTCTGCTTGCCTCATAAAATTATTCATTAATTTTTAGCAGTGGCCTTGAGAAGTTATGTACATAATATTTAGAGGAAAATGGCATTTACAATGATAATGAAAGCAATTCACATGGCAGTACCACTGCCCCAATTTAAACCTTGAGGCTTGCTAATTTCATATTTAGCCACATCCCATATGCTTCCAATCCCTCTGCCCTAGTGTGGAGCTACAGCTCAAACTCCCATTGAAGGCAGGAAACTTACCTCACACACACATGTTCCCCTCACTCTTTCAGCACATAGAACACTAAAAAGATGCTCCTTAAATACTTGCTAAATAAACTGATCAATAGTTGCATTTTATTAAATATCTTTGTGTTTCAGGTATTTCCTTCACAGATCGGATCATGAATTATCTCCCAATGTGACAAGGTCTTACTCTCCACAGTTTACCGCTGAGGGGACTGAGGTGCAGAAAGACCAAGGTGTATGCAGCCCAGTCCCCTCTGATCCCACTCCGCTGCATTGCTGCCTTTTGTATGCAGCAGGAAGGACACTTCCTGTAAAAATGAAAAAGAAAGAAAGAAAGAAAAAAAGCCTCAAGTTGTTTGAGAGAGGGTCAGGAGGAAAACGGGAAGAGCCAGTAGACTGCAGGTGCTTCTAAAGGGCTCCCTGTCTTTGACATCCCTAAAATAAAAACTTGTTAATTAAGAGATTGGCCACAGAAATCCAAGTGGAAAACCTGCAGAAGAATGGGTTCCACAATTCTTCCAAACAGAACAAAAAAACCCCAAGACTTGTTAATTTTTACTGGTGGAGGGGAAGAGGTTACAGGAGTGGCCTTGCTCCCAGGGTTGGCCTTGCTGAGCAGGTTACAATACCACACATATAAAGGTTTTAAGGTTTGTCCTCAGGTGAAAAGGTAGTCAATATTTTACATTTTGAAGATAGTTTTTAAAATCACCTCCATCAGTAGTAATACAACAATAACTACCATTTACACACCACCGCACATATCGGAGCTGTGTAAAGAGCTTTACACTGCACCATCTCAATTAATTCTCACAACTCTATGAAGTAGGTTTTATTATTCTGAATTTATAGACTGTGTTAACTGTGGCCCAGGGAGATGAGCTTTCTCGCGATTGCCCAGCTTTTAAGTGGTAGATCTAAAACCTAAATGTGTTTGACCAAAAGCCCTGAATAACATTTAGCTGTGAGCCTCGTGCGGATTTGACGCTGGTCCGAGGTGGGGAATTGTGAATCTCATTTATTTATGCTGAGCTGCGCACGTGTATGCACGTGTAATTTACAAAAAACAAATCCAGGTCAGGATCTCTGTCCGCTTGAGGTTTCAAAGCCTACTTGGGTAGACAGCGGTAAAAATCTCAACTCATTCATTTACTCGTTTGCTCTCTTCACAAGTATTTATTGCACACTTCAGTATTCCAGACAGGGCGCTAACCCTGCCCTGGAGGAGAGAACGGTGAACACAACAGACATGGCGTTTGCCCCCAACTATCCCCTTCTCGATTCTGCTATCTCACGGGCGAGGCATTCAAAGAAGCAGGAAATATATCAACAAGGGGGTGACTTAAGCACCCGCTGCGCGGGAGCCGGAGGAAGCGCGCTGAGGCTGCATAGGTGGTCAGGGCGAACTTCCTGGAGGCAGCGGCAGCTGCAGGCGGGGCGGGAACCCAGGTCGCTCGGAAGCTACAGTCGGAGCCGGGGACGGGGAAGAGGGGGCGGGGGCCAAGGCCCGGGCGGGGGCAGCCAGCGAATTAGGGTTAGGGCAGGAGGATTCGGCTTCCCGGCGGCAGAGGGCGCCTGGCGCTGCGGTCCGGCGCGCCGGAGCCGCCCGCGCGGGCGCCGAGAGGAGAGGCGAGGAGTGGAGCGCAAGCGGCGGCGGCCACTGCCACGTATACCCGGCAGTGGTGGCGGTGGCGGCGGCGCCCGCGGGCAGGTGGGTTGAGAGCGGCGCGGCGGTGGCGGGGCGGGCGGGCCGGCGGGCGGGCGCGGGGCACCGGGCGCCGGGCGGGGGTGCGGCGCCGGGACAGCCCGGTTCCCGCCACGCCGGCTCCGCCTCCGCGCAGTGCTGCTGACCCAGGCCCGGGCGCCCAGCGAGTCCCGAGCGCAACTCGCGCGGGCGGGGTTGGGGGCCCCAGGGACGCGAGCTCGCCTGCCCGTCGCGGCTCGAGACGCTGCATCCCGGTTGCTGCGGGGCCGGGGCTGGGAAAAGTTGGGGCGGACCGCGAGCCCGCGGGGCCGGGCGGGAAGTGCGGATGCGGGGCGGACTCTGGGGCCGTGGGACGCGGTGCAAAGGGCTCGGGCCGGGGCGGCCGGGAGGGCCCCGTATGGAAGGCGGGAGACGCGGGTCCTCTGAGGATGCCGAGAAAGGGGTGCGCTCAGGGTCTCTGGGAGTGGACAAGAGTAAGGCGGGGGCCCTTTCTGGTGAGAACGGTCGGAGCCTGGGGGTCGGGGAGTAGAGGTGAGGCGGGGGCGGGATAGAGCCTTCCTCCTCCCCCGCCCTGTCGGGGCCGACCCTGAGACCCGGGTTAGGCTCTGAGCCGGGAACGCCTATGTCATCTGAAGACCCGGTGGGGAGTTCCTGTATGGGGTGGGTGGAGGAGGGAGCTGAGCGTTGCTTCCTCTGCCGCCGGGGCCGACTACCGCCCCTCTCCAGCGGCCAGATTCACCTCTGACTGCAGTGCTTTTGCCATGAGGAAGTTGAGGAGGGACAGCTGAGCGGATGAGATGTTTGGGGTGTTCCAAGATGAGTGGGATTAGGCTGCATGATATCATAACTATCTCCGGGAGCTGTCAGAAAACACTCGCATGTCCTCATACACCCACCCATCCACTCATCCAGTCAGTACTGCCAAGCTCCAGGCTCCCTGACTCTTTAAGTGACACCTCTAGGTCCCCAGAGCCGAACAGCGCATCTGCTCAGAGCTTCGAGGGTGGCAAGGGTGGAAGACATGGCCTGCTAGTGTCTGCGTAGGTTGGTGCTTTCAGAAACAAGTGGTTCTGGAGGTGCTGGATGTTTTATTAGAACAATCTGTGTAGTGCCCCTTGACAATGCAGATGACTCATGTTGGTCTCCCCCCCGCCCCCCTCCCCGCCAGCTTACAAATAAACTTTGTATTCAAGACACCAGTATGCCTGGTCATTTGCAGCAGTGATACAGCAAGAGACCCATAGTGGGGTTCTTGAGCCCTTGTTCTCGTCCTAGATGTGTTAGCAAGAAGTTCGACCTTGGATGAGTCACTTGCCCTCTCTGGACTTCTGTTTTCTTATCTGTCACATGGAGTATAAAGAGAGCTCGACAGTATGATGAAGACAGGAGTAGGTTTCTGAGGGACACAGTGAAATCTTTTTTCCTGTAAGGCTGGATCAGCCACACAAAATAAGCCTCAGCCTGTTCTTATAAAGAAATTAGGATAGATTTAAAAGAAAACATGAGAAGCAAGAAATACTGCAAAAAGCAAAACAACAAACTAATAGTAGTTGGTACTAGATTTACAACATGAATACTGTTTTTATGCTTGCAATTAGTGTATTTGGTTGTCCAGCTGTCTTTACTGTAAAGTTGCTTGTTGTGCTTAGAAAATATGTATTTCACCTGTGGACCCGAATTTTTTCTTGTTTTTTGGCCTTCAAGCTTGGAGTGGACACTCAAGCTTGGAGTTGGATTGGTCTTGCTGGGGTTTGTCTGGCGAACATCCTCAGGGTCTCTCATTGCATAATATTACAGGTTCCTTCTGTCTGATGCTGGGGTCCTTGTACAGCTATGCGTCTGCCATCTTTTCCATTCTGGCTTGAGAAGTGGTGAGCTGGTTGCTCTCGTCTCTGGCATGTCCAGACTTCTCATTTCCTTTCAAATGAGTGTAGTAAAAGGCAAGCAGTACCTTAGATGCAGCACATTAAAAATTGCTCCAGGCAATCATGTGTGCCCCCTCCACCCTGCTCCTGTCCCCTAGACCCCCTGGGCAACTTCTCACTAGAACTTCCTGGTCATAAGCTAGCTTTGACATTTTGGATGCTGAGGGCCATCACAAAAATGAAATGACTTGACTGGGATCACATCACACATTAATGATCAAGCCTTGGTGCTGGAAGAAGAGGAATTTTTTTTTTTTTTTTTTATCATAACTGAATGTTCCTGTTCTTGTCCATTAGTAGCTTTCAAAATCCATATTGGGTTTGACCACATCATTTTCAGTAATCCTTTTTTTGTCAGCTTTTTGGAAGCTCCAGTTAGTGGTTATCTCTGAGTTTGGGGTAGTGGTATTTTATTGTTAAACAATTTTTTCAAAAAAATTTCTTAAACTACTTTCGTTTTCAGACTAGATGAAGTAGTGTTAAAAATGGTATCTTCTCCAACAAGTAAAGGCTTGATTAATTAGGTTGAGTCTTTAAAATATCTACTGTTTGTGTGTGTATACGTTTTACTTTAATTGAGAAGTATTAATCAAAATTGTAATCGTCACCATTTGAGCCCCTGCCATTGAGCAGGCATTGTGAGGTAGGAGTGAGCATCATTTTACAGGAGAGAAAACAAAGCCAAGAGATGGCACGACTCTGGTACAGCTGTTGTGCATAAGTTGTGATCTTTCAGTCCACCTACCATTTTCTTAACAGTGGAAAAGGAATTCTCAGCTATCCTATGGGGTTGTGCTAAATGAGATACTGTATGTGAAGAGGAATAAGTAAACTATAACAGCCTCCCTACCGCAGCACATTTTAACATAAGCACTTGTGGACTCTGAAAGCAGCGTGGTGAAGTGGTAAGTTCAAGCGCCTTGGGAGTCTGGCAGGCCTGCGTGTAAATAGTGAACCTACCGCCTGTCCTCTCTGAGCCTGGTTTCCACATGTGTAAAATCAGGATAATACTGTCTGTCTTGTATTCAATGAAATGTACACGCTAATTGCAGTGGGTGCTGAGTAAAGGTTGGCATCCACTCCTTTCCCTTGCACACAAGTACTTGGAATAATGGGATTGAGTAAGTCAGCAGTTGTCCTCAGGGGGAAAAGGCTTAAAGTACTTTTTGTACTTATCAATAATTCTTCTGGCCTTTTTGCCTTCCCACCCCAAGCCCCAGCACGTGCAATGAATATTCTAGGGCCTGTGATTGTCTTGTCCAAGGGAATTGAAAAAATCATAAGCCAGAAAGGACAGGTCTTTGATAGAAAGTTGAAAATGGATGTAGCTGGTTTGTTTCCCTTTGCCCATTTTGTGGCCTTCTTTCTTTTTTTTTAAATTAATTTTGTTGGACAGGGAAAAGATACAGAATTCAGGGGGTTCTAGCTGGAGGGGGACCCTGGAAGAGCCTATAGTGTAGGGCAGCTAGAGGGAGGAGTGGGCTGGCTGACTGTCAAAGCTAGAGTTTGGTGTGGGGGAAATTTCTGTTAGATGCAGGATTTGGCTAAATATGGGACCAATTTCCATCTAGTCCTTTAAGACCGTCTTTTGGGACTTTGAAGTTTTTGTGCTCCAGGCAGATTTTGACTGGTTGTGGTGGCATCACAAATGAGTTTCCACAGTAAATTGTATGCTGAAAGGAAATTAAATTCCAAGAGGGTGTTTGTTGTGACTGATGCCAGAATTTCTCTGAGAATTTTATTAACATTCAGTCTATGAAAGTACTTCTTAGTTCTCTGAAGATAATAATTAGGAAATAGTTTTTAAAAAGTAGAAGTGTTGTCTTTGTGAGCTTTTGAAATGTCATCTTCCTAAATCTTTGGAGCAAATGAGGCTCAAAACAACATAGAGGCTTATATTTTAAAAGCATTTCTTCCTAAATGTAATATTTTCCTTCTCTTCCTGTTCATTCCCTCCTCCCACATTATTTTGATAATGAGTTAATTTTGGTTTCTTTCACATTGTGGTGGCCTGATTTTTAAGTTTATGACCCTTCATTTTTAGATCTTGCACGTATTTCTTTTTTCCCTTGAGTCAATTCTCATTCATTATGAAGAGCTGGTATAGCAAGGTGGGAAAGAGAGAGGACCCTGGAGCTAGGTTGGTGAGATCTAGGCTCTTTAGAACTTGGATTCAGTCCTCACAGTAGTTCTGGGAGGCTGATCATGCTATCCCCAACACACAGATGTGGAAATGGGTGCAGAAACACATGTGTGTTCACATAGCCAGCAAGTGGTTAATCTAAGTGTCACTGCAATGATCTGTAGGACTCCAAAGCCCATACTTCCAGGTGGAAAGGCAGGCAGGGACCTTGCATGCTGTGCCAGGGTTGGAACTTAGTCCTATAGGCAGAGAAGGTCAGGTCTGTATTCCAGAAAGGTAGCTCGGTGGCTGTCTATAGTTTCGAAGTGAAGCAAATAGAAATCAGGAGGAGAGAAACTAGTTCATTGAAGTAATTGTCTTGAGAGATGATGAGGGCTTGAACGGAAGACATTAAGATAGTGACAGTGGTGGCAGAGAAGAGGGGACTTGTTGGAATCCATAGAGCTTAGTGCCTTTGGATATTAGAATTGCGTCATCCCTTCCCGTTTCAGGTCTGATGCCCCAGGGATGGGTGTTGGAGATGCTGACTATGTGCAGGCTAAAAGCAATCTCTGCAGAAACCAGAAGTGCCGCCTTTGGTCTCTGCTAACAGCTAGAGAAAGGTGGCTGAGCACAGTCCGAAAGGGCCTTCCCTTCCCTGTGCCACCCCAGCCTTATCATTCCTAACTTTCCAGGAGCGTCGCAGAGGATGGAAGTTGAATTCCTCAGACTGCATTTTGGGAAATACTAGTTTGAGCAGTCAAGGTTAGAAGTGTGGAAGGGAAGACACCTTCCTTGGGTATTGTCTGCACATCCCTCTTCCCTGGTGGCACAGGGGACCCACCGGGGTTTGGTCCTCAGTTCTGGCTGTTCCATAAAAGTTGATCTACCCTAGATGGGGTTAACTTGTGGTCACCAAACTTGCAGGGCTTGACTGGGAAGCAGGAGTGGCAGTGAACATAATGGCCAACCCTGAGAGGAGTGGAGGTCAGCCTCCTCAGACGGGTGCAGTCTCTGCGGGGCACCAAGCCATGCTCAGGGAAGCGGGCATCACAGCCCAGGGAGCTGGTTGGCTGGGGTCTGCATGTTCTGTCATCAGTAGGGAACACTGTTGCCACATCAGGAGTATACTGGTTTTCTGTCCTCTCCCCTAGTCAGTGCCAGACATGGTAATAAACTTGCTTTTGGGCTTCTGTTTTTCCAAATTGTGCAATATCCCTGCCCTTCTGAGAGTTTGTGCTGGCTTTGGTCCGGCCGGAGGGCAGGTGGTCAGATTCTGGCTTTATTTGAGCTGTGTTCTCGCTGTGAGGAGGAAGCCAGGTTACCTCTGTTGGACCTGCCTGCTCTCAGCATCTCCAGCCACAAGCTGTCTCTGCCGGTGAGTCACCCGTGCAAGAGTCTGCTCACCCACTTTCGGCTTGATGTTTACACCTTTCCCTCAAAGAGGGAACTTCTTCTCTTCTTTCCGAGGGCACTTCTCGGCAGTCCCCTAAAGTGTCCAGTTAGTTTCTTTTGTGGGGTAAGAGCCCGTGCCAGACAGGTACATGTTTTAATGGGAGAAGAGCATTTCTGCCTGTGGATATGAGCTGGCATGCCTACCTCTTTAACATTATGTCCTGAGCAAAGCCCTTATCTTGTTCTTTTTGCTTCATGTTTAGGTGCGTGTTTGGGTGTGTTTGCTTTAATTATTACTGGGAAGCAAAAAAGATATTTATCAAATGTTTAAATCTATAGCAGTGTCCCCGCTTGGGCAAGCAGAAAGAATAAGTATATATTTAGCCAGGATATCATTGATTTATTACTCTTTTTTCCATTTTGTTGCTGTTTTATTGGCAGAACCATCTGATTTGTATACTGGTTCAGTTTGGATTTCAGTAGTGAGTGTGAAAAGATTCCTGGGCTGTTTGCCGAAGTGGAGGGACTCGAATGAGTGGGCTTCAGGGCTGCCAGTCTTGGCTGTCTCTGCAATCCCAGGAGCCTGGCACATGGTGCCTTTGTTAGGAAGGTGGAGTTTGGCCAGGCCGTTTCTTTGGCTTTGCCTGGGAGCAGCTCTGTTGGTGACAGTGGAGGCCTCCCTCTCCCGTGGGAAAGGGAATTCTCTCCTGATTCTGGTTTTGGCTTATTTCTCATCTAATGGGGATAAAGGGAGGAAAGCCCCAGAACTAGTGAGTTTTGGTGATGGGCAGGTTCAGGATAGGACTGGTTTGCAGCTTCCACAGAGCTTTTACAGACGTTTTCTTGCATCCCACATTTTCCTTCTTCCCTGTTAGTCCCAATTCAATCTGTCATCGGTACTGCAGAAATTGGTTTGAACTTTGTCAGTCTTGGGAAGACCTGGGAGTGCAGCACAGAAACCTGTTCAGACTGGTGCAGCAATTTCACATCAGCGTAAGTAAGTTGTTTTCGTGGTGGTGGTTTTTTAATCAGTTTAGTTGCTTTTTTTCTGAAATCATATAGGTAATATGCAAATGTATTCTCCTGCAGCCTGCCCTCCCATTTAAATAGTGCAGAAGGACACAGCAGACCTGTCACATTCCCCTTCACCCAGCACCCCTCCCCAGGTGCCACCTTCTCCATGTCCTCAGAGATAACCAGTGTTAGCAGTCGGATCTGTGTCCTGAAACTGTCACCCTGTGTACACAAATATCCTATGGTTTTCCTTCTTTTAGAAGCATGAATCTGATTGCATCATACTGCTTTTTTCACATAGTATATCTTCGAGAGCTTTTCATGCCTGTGGCTCTTCTCTGTTCTTTTAATTTGCCTTTTATTTGCCTATAAAATATTTTCTAATATAGGTATGTCATAATTTATGAATTGGTCCCCTATTGATGAACATATAAACTCATTAGTTTTGCTGTTATATCTTCATTCATACATATTAGTATGCACATGTTTCTCTAGGAGTGGAATTGGCATGTCAAATGTTAAATTCATTTAAAATGTTACAGCAGTACCCATACTATGCTCTCCAGAGATGCGCTAGTTCCTGTTACCGGTGGTGTATGGGCTGCCATTCTCCTGGGTGAAAGAGATGGATCGTTGTTTAGTAGGCATTTCATTTATTATTGGCTTCTTGATTCTTAGTGCTGAGATCGTAGACATTCAGAGTGGTGGGTCCGTAATAACTATAGAAGATGAGGGAACCAAACCCTCAAGGACCATGGCTGAGCTCAGGGTGGTGTGAGCATCATGCCACCAGCGGTGGCATCGTGGGACCTGGAAGCAAGAGCTCCTGGTTTCACACTCTCTGTTTCTCCCAGATGCTAGGTATGGTAATAGGACATTTTAATCTTGGTGTAACTTGCCGGAGTATTTCTCCAAATCTTTCATCTGAGGAACCAAGGGTCCGTAAGTATTAAGATCAGTCTGTCCTGCGCTGCTGAGGCATGGATTGGAGACTGGGGAGCGGCACTGGGAAGATACTTAAAGATTGTGTGCTGGAAAATCAGGCACTGTTGCTTCTGGAAAAGCCTCCAGGAATATGGTAAAGCAGATCTTTTCTTCTAGTTGCCTGTGATTGTTCCCCATCTCCTGGCTTGCTGTGGGAATATTGTGGTGCTTTGACCCTTAGCAGGATGCTTTGGGGAGATGTGATGATTTCTTAGAAGGTGTTTGAGGGGCGTGACACAATAGGCTGGTAGAGAAGGCATCTGGTGGCCTCCATGAATAGGCTGATCCCGGGGCCCTCCCTGCAGGCTGGGCTGCCCAGTGGACACAGTGGGCTTCAGGAAGCCCTGGCTGATTGAACCACAGAGTCCTTTACCTATTGCCCAAAGGGGTAGAGAGCAGGAATGCTGGTGGGGGAGCCCTTGGGAGACAAAGGGACTGCAGAGTTGAGCCACACTGGACCCAGCTCCCATTCAGCACCTTATGGGTATCTATATATACATATATACACACACACATATACATATATATAAACATATGTACGTGTGTGTGTATATATATATACACACATTTTTTTTTTTTTTTCTAAGAATGAGTCTCGTTCTGTTGCCCAGGCTGGAGTGCAGTGCCACAATCTTAGCTCACTGCAACCGCTGCCTCCCAGGTTCAAGCAGTTCTTCTGCCTCAGCCTCCCTAGTAGCTGGGATTACAGGTGTGCACCACCACTCCTGGCTAATTTTTGTATTTTTAGTAGAGATGGGGTTTCACTATGTTTGTTGGCCAGGCTGGTCTTGAACCCTTGACCTCAAGTGATCTGCCCACCTTGGCCTCCGAAAGTGTTGGGATTACAGGCATGAGCCACGGCACCTGGCTAATAACTGTTTTAAAATGAGTGACTACATATTACATTTGCAGATTACGTAAGTAGACATAATCTGGTAACATTAAAGAGAAGAGGTCCGGAGATTAGCAGCTGTCTAGGGCAGATGAGAGTGGGGCTATGGGAATTAAAAGGGATGAAGGTGGGAGACTTGGGTGGAGGCTGTAGGTGGGGCAGGAGAGTTGAGTTGGGATGTTCTCTTCCAACACCGTTGCTCCTGCAGAAACCCCTCCTTTGTGCACACCAGAGCCCCACACGCAGAGGCCTTATCTCTTTTTTTAGAAAGACAGATGGCTAGGGGATTGCTAGTGCAACCTCTGCCCTTTATTTCAAGGTGGGTGAGTGAGGCCCTCAAAGCCAAAGTGTCTGCCTCAAGCTCCACAGCTGGCCAGGACGGAGCACAAGTAGGCCCAGCTCTCTGTGCTCTGGGGAGTTGAGATTTCTTTCCCTTCTTCCCTGCACTGCCATGTGTTGCTTGTAGCCAGATACAGGAGAGACATGGTGTTAGGCACTTTCTGCCATTCACTCCTCCCAAGGTTCTTGTGAGATGAGGTCAAGATATGCATGTTCTTCTATTCCAACAGTGCCAGCCACAGATTGATGTCTGCTGGTTTCATTCCCCTGGTCACCTGTAATCAAGGAGAGGACCGAGACTGGATCCTGCCTGCTCTTTCCCACCACACCATGTATGTCGTTAGTTTTTCCTGCGTGGAGCAGCTCTCCTGGGGACTGGTGTGGCACTCAGTATTATTTATCAAATAAATGAGCAAGATCCAATTCAGTCTTTCCCTGGCTCTCGTGTCTCTGAAGTGAGAACATTTGCCTCTCCGTTTGGCCCTCTGGGATTAGTATAGCACCCCTGCCTGCCTTTAAGCTTATCCTCCTTCACTCAGAGTTCATTCAGGAAATACACTGTTCTAGGTGTTGGGGATTTTGCACCAAACAAAAGGAGCCAAAATCCTGTTCTTGTGGGGCCTGTTTTCTAGTGAGGATGACAGACAGTAGTGACTAAAATACATATGTTTATTAGGTTCCCAGGGCTGCTGTAACAAAGTGCCAGAAAGTGAGTGGCTTAAACAGCAGGAGTATGTTTTCCTGTGGTTCTGGGGGCTCTGAGGGGAGTCTGTTCCATGCCCCCCTTCCAGCTTCTGGTGGTTGCTGGCCTTCCTTGGTGTTCTTGGCTTGTGGGAGCATAGCTTCAGTCTCTGCCTCTGCTGTCCCATGGCGTTCCACTGTGTCTGTGTATGAGTCAGGGTGTTCCAGAGAGACAGAACCAATAGGACATAGATAGGTAGGTGAGAGGAGATTAGAGCAATTGGCTCACATGATTTTGGAGGCTGAGAAGTCCTGTGACGGGCCGTCTGCAGGCTGGAGAATGAGGAAGGCTGGCAGTGGGACTCCATCCAAGTCCAAAAGCCTCAGAACTAGGAACGCAGATGGTGTAAGTCTCAGTTTGAGGTTGAAGACCTGAGAACCTGGGGGTTTGGGGGCAGGATGTGCTGGTGCAAGTCTTTCTTAGTTGACTGATTCAAATGCCATTCTCTTCTGGAAACACTCAAATGATGTAGTACTTTACTAGCTATCTGGATATCTTTTAGTCCAGTCAAGTTGACATCTAAAATTAACCATTACTGTCTGTGTCTCTGTTTTCTTATAAGGACGCTAGTCATTGGATTAGGGCGCACTCTATTCTAGTATGACTGTGTGAACTCTGACTATCTGAAGACAGGTCTCAGTCAGTTTAGGAAGTTTATTTTGACAAAGTTAAGGACATGCGCTTGTGACACAGCCTCAGAATGTCCTGATGACATGTGCCCAAGGGGGTTTGAGCATAGCTTGGTTTTACACATTTTAGGCAGACATGAGACAATCAGTGTATGTAAGATGAACATCGGTTTGGTCCAGAAAGGTGGTACAACTCGAAATGGGGAGGGGGCTTCCAGCTTATAGGTAGATAAGAGACAAATGGTTGCATTCTTTTGAGTTTCTGATTAGCCTCTCCAAAGGAAGCAAGCAGATATGCATTTATCTCAGTGAGCAGAGGGATGACTTTGAATAGAAAGGGAGGCAGGTTTGCCTTAAGCAGTTCCCAGCTTGACTTTTCCCTTTAGCTTAGTGATTTGGGGGCCTCAAGATTTATTTTCCTTTCACAACTGCCTTTTTTTTTTTAAACTGTGGCAAAACCATAAAATTTACCCTCTTAACCATTTTAAGCGTACAATATATTAGTGTTACCTGTCTGCACATTACTGTGCATCAGTATGACCTCATTGTGTTAGAGTTCTCCAGAGAAACAGAATCAATAGGCTCATGTGTATGTATATAGATTCATTGTAAGGTGTTGGCTCACGTGGTTATGAAGGTTAAGAAGTCCTAAGAGCTGCAGTCTGCAAGCTTGAGACTAGGGAGAGCCAATGGTGTAAGTTCCAATCCAAGTACTGAGGCCTCGAGACCCAGGAGAGCCAGTGGTGTCAGTTCCAATCCAGGTACTGAGACCTTGAGTCCCAGAAGAGTCAGTGGTGTAAGTTCTAGTCCAAAAGCCCACAGGCTTGAGACCCAAGAAGAGCCAGTTTCTCAGTTCAGGTCAGTCCAAAGGCAGAAAAGACCGATGTCCCAGCTCAAGTGTACATACACTGCAAGCGGAGTTCCCTCTTACTCAGGCTGTTTGTTCTGTTCAGGTCTTCATTTGATTGGATGAAGTCCACCCAGATGAGGGAAGGCATTCTGCTTTATTCAGCCTGCCCATTCAAATGTTAATCGTATCCAAAAAACACCCTCACAGACATACCAGGAATAATCTTTGGCCAAAAGTCTGGGCACCCATGGCCCAGTCAAGTTGACAGATGAAATTGACCATCACACTCATCTTAAAAGATTGTATCTGCAAAGACCCTATTTCTAAATAAGCTCATATTCTGAGGTTCCAGGTGGACAAGAGTTTTTTGGGACTCCATTCTGCCAGATGGTATGTGAGTTATTGGTGACTGCTGAAAAGCTGGGAGAGTCCCGCAGCAGAGGGGAAGATGAGGTGGTCAAGGAGGGCCTTGCTGAGAAGGAATGTGTGCACTTGGGGCTGGAGAAGGGGGAGAGAGGGAGGAGCTGCTGTGTGGAGGAAGAGGATC